ACCGGCTGGGCTTGGTGACCTTAAAGGGCTTTTCCAACCTAAACAAGTCTATGATTCTATGACCCCAAGGACCGAAGAGCTGCTGCAGCCGATGAACTGGGACCTGCCCTGGAAGTGCTGGGGGGCCCGGCAGCAGCAGTTTCCCTCTCAGGCAGACGTATGCCCGAGGAGAGGGAGGACATTGGCCCCAAGCAGCCACCAGCCACTGGCACAAAACAGGGTTTGCCACCTCACCAGCCACCAGGGCTCAGGAGAACGTTGCTGTCAGAGAACAGTCCCCAGCAGCTCCCTTTCTACGTCATTTAGCAAAGCAAACTTTAGCTTATAGCCTAATGAATGTCAGGCGGCCCTGAAGACATCCTGAGGAGGATCAGCAACATTCACCGCAGTGTTAAATCCTGCTGTCGTGCACTGTGAGAGAAGATAAAAATAGACTGAACCTGGTGGCAGCCAGCACTGCCTGCGTGAAGCAGTCCTGCCCGCATCCTACCTTTTGGGGCTGGTAAGAGAACAAGATGGCATATTTCTGCCTCTTCAGCTCTGTTTCTGCTGCTCTTTGTGTTTAAAAGAAATACTGCGAGTGAAAGCAGAGGTAAATTGAGATTTCAGGGGTTTGCAAAGCAATAATTCCAGAGAGAAGCATGTACCATGAAGTTGCGATGTTCTGAAATCCTTCACAGCTGCGAGGGAAGGTAGCTGTTTGCCCAATTTAACTCATAAACCCTGAGGAAAGAGATCTTATATGGGATGCTCTCCTCTTCGGAGGAAAACATAGATTTGATCTGTCAGCATCTGTATCAATCAAATGATAGTCCATGCCTTAATTTCACCAGAAGGGATCACTCTGAGGAACTGCAAGGGCACCACCCGGCAAGTTTGAAGCGCTTGTGAAAATGAAGCCCACCTCTTTATTGCAAAAGGCATCTCTAAAGAACAAAACTACTTCCAAAAAAATGACCATTCATCACTTCCTAAAATAGAAACCTTCAGTTCTGCAGCATCTAAGAGACTAAAATTTCAGAATCTCTTTTTATATCTTTTGCTCATTCTTTAAAAAGAAGCCAGAGAGTAATTCAATAACTTTCTATAGTTAGTCTAATATTCAGATTCTGCTCCTTTTCTTTTTTTGATTACCTACTCATAGGCAGAGCTGATTTGGGCTAGTAAGAGGGCGAGAATCAGGGAATACTCCAAAAAACCCAACCCAACCCCACCACGGAGCAGTTTGTGGGAGGGAAAGGTCCCGAACACCATTCCAGGTTACTCAGTGAGGGACCTACCCCGGACCAAAGCGTATCCTTCGCACGTTCACCCAAACCAAAGCATATCCTCCGCACGTTCACCCAAACCAATGCGTATCCTTCGCACGTTCACCCAAACCAACGCGTATCCTTTGCATGTTCCCCCAAACCAATGCGTATCCTTTGCATGTTCACCCAAACCAACGCGTATCCTTCGCACGTTCACCCAAACCAACGCGTATCCTTCACACGTTCACCCAAACCAATGCGTCCTTCGCACGTTCACCCAAACCAACGCGTATCCTTCACACGTTCACCCAAACCCACGCGTATCCTTCGCACGTTCACCCAAACCCACGCATATCCTTCGCACATTCACCCAAACCAACGCGTATCCTTTGCATGTTCACCCAAGCCAACGTGTATCCTTCGCACATTCACCCAAACCAACGCGTATCCTCCGCACGTTCACCTAGACCTGCACTTTGGAAGAGCACCGTGCCACAGCCCTCACCTTATCTATCACATTTTGCCTGCTTCAGAGTGCACCACCTCAGCCTAAGACAGAGGTCGTATAATTGCTCCTTTCTTCCATCTATCTCACAGAATAAACCCCAAATGAAACTGATAACCAGTACTATGTTGTTCTGAAAAGTACAAGAAAGCCCAAAGATCCGTAATGTGCCTCGCTCTAGCAATGTTTTCATAATTAAACAGTTCTTCAGAATTTATCTTTTCTGCATTGACACAAAAAGCCCCAAATGTTACAACCCCCTAATTTCTGCAGAGTAGCTCCATAGTATACAATGCAACAACAAAAATCTTATTTGGTATTAATCCCATTCATTATAGAATTAAAACCACCACACATAGGTTTTCTTGTCCCAAATGTCTTTCATCTGTTTCCATTTTGCAAACCTCTTGGGCTTCAGTTCAGTAAACAATAAAACAAGACTAAAGCTCAGAGATACGCTGCCAAGCCATTACCTGTGTCATTATTATGGTAGGAAGTTGACACCCTTAGCTAACTTGGACCATCAAACCCCATGACCAGTCAACTGTGCCCCATGAATAATTCATGTGTCCTTTCCAGGGGTTTTTGCCAGTTCTCTTGAAACCAACCAAAATAATGCAGGACGTGTAACATGCTCTAGGTGAACCTGCTTTAGCAGGAGGGTTGGACTAGATGATCTCCAGAGGTCCCTTCCAGCGATTCTGTGATTCTGTGTGATTCTGTGATGACAAAGACCCATCATCTCTGCCGTTAAGTTGTGAGCCGCATCTGCCTGGCCAGCTCGTTTGGCTGACAGTAATCACTGTCTCATGGAGGGTTTGCATCCCCGCTGTCTGCTCGACGAGCGCTGACTTATTTAGATCCACGCTCTGTTTGAAGTTTGAAAATAAGCTACCACTGAGCTTCACAGGTACAGGGTGCCCAAGCAAGCTGAGGCAGAACCGGCAGTGCTGCTCAATAGCTTCTCACTGGGTATTTCAGGAGCACAAATAGAAGAAAACACCATCAAAAATAGAGAAGAATTTGGAACAAATGAGACAAGAAACAGAGAACGCAAGAGACCCAAACAGGAGAGAAGATTGCTGTAGACTTCCAGCCAGAAACCCTGGCTCCCGTGACACCAACAGGGGGGGTGCTACTGGACTAGCCAGAGTGACCACCGCTAGCCCACTTACTGATCAGTGGCCCCAGAATCAGGCCTAAAGCCTGACTCTGCCCTGTGGCTGTCCTAGAGCACCTCCAGCGCAGAGCCAAGTGCCCATGCTCTCAGGACTCTCACCTCAGGGAGCCTTTTTCTGGACAAAATTGAGATCCTCTCGGAAGTAGTTTCTGTGTGACCTCTCTGTCCCAAGCTGTCTTCCCAAGGACTGACAGGAGAGATACAAACCTTACATACCGACCTTTTTGCATGGCTCAGTCTTGCACAAGGGCTTCCTCCTCCTCCCAGTGCCACGGAAAGGGACACAGTGTCATTAAATATAATTAATATCTGTATTGTAATAAACTGTTACACTGGAGCTCACTGTATAATCCAGCCCTAAACAGAATATATGACATTGGCGCTAGGATACCATCCCAAAAACCAGTGTAGGTTGGGCTCTGTGAGTAAGGGTCTGGCAATGACATCTTCTTGACAGTGCATTTTCTGTCTAACAACTCCAGTTTTAATACAGCACTGAGCCTTATCTAGTTAGCGGTGTCCCTGCTCCCTGCAGGGGGGTTGGACTAGATGACCTCTAGGGGTCCTCTCCAACCCAAAACATTCTATGATTCTATGATTACCAAAGCCTTTCTTAGCATTTGGGGGATGTGGGGCTTGTCGAGAGGGTGTAAAAATACTACTAAGGTATTTAGAAAAATCCAGACTAGTTCTGAAGAAACTTCTCAGCAGAGCAAATTAACCCCAAAAGGCTGGAGTGCTAACACAGATACCTTGTAATGGCACCCAAGTTCTCCCATGCACAGCAAGCAGGTATCAGCCTGACACTGAGCTGCGGTCCGTGCCAACGCTTTCTGCTTCCTACCTGCTCTGCAAATGCTTTTCATCCGAGCTCCTCCTGGCTGGGAGTAGGAACAAAGAGGAGGGGGATTTTTGCGCTGCTACGGCTTCTTTTGGAAATTCAATAACAATTTCAGAAAAAGATTAAAGAGTGTTTTAATCAACTTCAAACAGACAACAGATGTTGGCTTTAATAAAAATGAGTTATGAAAGAGAAGGGAATAACAAGAATTAATTAGAGGATGCTGAGCAAAGGAAGTAAGTCCAGAAATCTGACATTTCCTCACAATTAGTTTATAGATTAGCATCCCCTCAGGAAAGGTGGATACTCTTTCTTTACTTGTTTTTCATAAAGACAGTATCACATCAGTATCACCACTACCGAAAGCACAGACTGTTAGCTCTGTACTTTAGCAGTGTAAACACAGCCCACAGTGCTGTCGCTCCAGCTCCTAGGAGCATCTCTTCGTAAAGCCAAGCGCGGCGCCGGCAGCACGCCCATCGTCTGAACCCAAGGGCAGCGCTTGCAGCGCCCGGGTGCAAACTTCACCGCAGTGACAGCAAAGGCAGAAGAAGCTGCTCACGCCAGGCTAACAGGCGAAGGGGAACGTTGGTCCTGGTACTTCGGAGAGCAAAGTGATGGGTAATCAGCAGAGAAAAGAAATATTGCCAAATGAATGACGCAATGTGGAGCAACCACCTTTTTTCTTTAGCAAGAGCAGCAGACCCTATTGTAGGGCTCGGAATGAGCCCCTCTAGCCCAGCGACTCCATGAGTGATGGTGAAGAAGGCTCCGTGGCAGGCGTCACTGAAACCACAGGCTGCGCACGAGTCGTTCTCTGCATGAGCCGCAGTAGCTGCAGTAGCGCGGAGCTCTCTCCCCTAACACAGGGAAGCAGCTCATCACAAAATACTGGAGTGGGAAAATGTTCACGATAAAAGTGAAATGACACCCAGAAGCATCGGATATAAAACCAGTACAGAAAGCTAAATTTACCATTTGCTCTTCTAAAACACACGGACTTGGAACAGAAGACAGGGTGAGTGTAAAATATTACAGATAAAATCATGGAAGGGGAGGTGCCAAGAGGCAATTCAGAAGCACTGGACCTCCCAGATGACAGGTGGCTTTTCCCGCAGCCAGGCAGGACAGCGTGGGATGCCAAAGCTTGCAGCGAAGAACCCTTTTGCTTTGTTAAGCCCATTACTTGAGCAGGGTTCCCTGGCACAGCAGCTTATAGTACCCATGAACGACAGGCTGAAGGTACACAGGGGCTCATCCACCACTCTGAAGGCATAACCTAAGGAAATGTCTCACAAGTGAGCACCAGTGTCCTTTTGTGTCCCACTCCAGCAAAGACATCCTAGCTGAACGATTCCTTGGAAATCCAGGCTCTGATGCTACATGGCTTATGTGCCAGTAACATCAGCGTGGAGCACCGGAGTAGTCAGGGCCAAGAGCCTGCTGAAGGTGCTTTGCTAAATGAAGGCTATGAACTGAGGTGGGGGGAGGCAGGGGAAAGCACAGGCTTACGTAGGGCTCCAGGAATGAAAATAAGGCCCCACATGGGAGAAATCTCACCTGGGGAGGTCCCAGTTTGGCCGTAAGCACGGCACTCACCCTGTGCACAATGTTTCCCTCTAACCAAAGAGAGATGCTTTCCATCATCAGGAGCAAGCTCCAGCGGCTGGCTACAACAGCAGTCATTGACACCCATGCTTAAGTGGAACTTTGCTCCCTGAAGCACGAGGGTTATAAAGACCTGACCAGTTTCACCTCTCCTGCCCTGAGGAACAACGTCACCGATCAGCAGAAGTCTGGACTGAGAAATCCTCCACGCACCCTGCTGAGCCCCACCGGTGAGCTGCTCTCTTCCTCCCCAGGAGAAACCCCCATGCAAACCAGTGCCCTGGTGGGCAACACCAGCAGCTCCAGCTGACCTGCTAGACCCTTGCAGCCTGCTACGGGTGTTACTGGTGGCATCAAGCTGTACCTGGAACAGGTCGTCTCACGGTCACAACGCTGCTACCAGTGACCACAGCTCTGCAGCACCACAACCCAACACTGGAATGAAGACATCCAAAGGGACACCAGAGCACAGAGGTACCGGGTAGCCATAGCAACCCACGGTGGCTATCTATTTTCCTTCTTACTGTATTAGTGCTTTTCTCTTATGCTACTGATTTTCTATCATATTGTATAAGCTGCAGGCACAACGATCTCCAGCTGAGAGGCTAACATTCTTTGAAAATAATATTATTAAGAGGTTTTCTTCTCGTCATCTTAAAAGCGCTGCAGTGAACTTGGATTTTATCTAAAAAGGAGAGAGAAAGGAAGGCGATGCCACCAGTGCTTAGTCTCCGTGGGCAGCAAGCTGGTATAACCACTTATGTATGCTACTCTCATTCACTAGTCATCTGTTAAAATGACCGGCAGTTTCGTTTTGCCAGGACTCCCGTGACTAGGAGAGCAACTCCCGCTTTGGCATTTGTGCTCAGCCCCCCGACCGCAGGCAGCTACAGGCTCCTCATCTGCCCTGGGACCAGCTAGTCGTCCGCAGGGACAGCAGAAATGATGGCGGAAAGATCGCAGCTGGTCGTGGCACAGCAGGGCACAGCAGCTCCGTTGGGCAAGTCAAGGAGGGAGGGCAGGACTCAGCCTCTCGGTCCCAGAGAAGCCGCGGGGGCAGACGGCTCTTTCTGAGCTGCACCCATCGGCTGGCCGGCGCTCCCGTCCTGCTTCACGTCTGCAATGCAAAGGGCTGACCGTGTAAAGGTCAGCCTTGATCTGTGGTCCAAACAAATTAACTTAGGGCAAAACGGGGACAAGAGAAAAAGCATGCAACTGGCACTAAATTGCATCGGAAATGGGCTGATGAGCCTCACCTTCCCAAAGGAAGAGGCAGGTCGTTCTGTCAGAGGTGGCTGCCTCCTGCAGAATCTTAACGATTTATTTATTTATTATTTAGGTACTATTCTTGTTAGTATGTGAGGAAGAGGGGACAGAGTGAAGAAAAGCAAGAAACATATTTGAAAATGATAATAATGTGCTCTCCCTGTCATGCGGCATTGAAGTTCTGCCAGGCAAGTACTAAACTGGGATGTCCTAAAACCTTCCATCCGAGGGCTGGAGCCCCTCTGCTCTGAGGCCAGGCTGGGAGAGTTGGGGGTGTTCAGCCTGGAGAAGAGAAGGCTGCGGGCAGAGCTGAGTGCGGCCGGTCAGGGCTTAAAGGAAAGAAAGGAAAGAGGCTTAAAGGAGAGGAAAGGGGGGGACAAGCTTTTTAGTAGGGCCAGCTGGGACAGGACGAGGGGGGATGGCTTTAAACTGAAGCAGGGGAGGGTTAGACTGGATCTAAGGAAGAAATTCTTTCCATTGAGGGTGGTGAAACCCTGGCAGGGGTTGCCCCGAGAGGGGGTGGAGGCCCCATCCCTGGGAACATTCCAGGCCAGGTTGGCCGGGGCTGTGAGCAACCTGATGTGGTTCAAGGTGTCCCTGCTCCTGCAGGGGGGTTGGGCTGGGTGACCTCTTTGGGCTGGGTGACCTCTGGGGGTCCCTTGCACCCAAACCATTCTGTGATTCTGTGATTCTAGAAGAGTTAACTAAATACAAGGAAACCAACGTGTCCTTTTCTTATACTTGCCCCTAAGGAGCAAGAACGCTTACCCCAGCAAAGGGTCTGCGGTCAGCACATGTGTTTAACACCAGCCATGCACCGGTATTGCAGTGAGTCCACGTCTGACACTGCAGCAGCAATAGTGCCCCCAAAACGCATCGCACTGCAGAGGGACTTACTTCATGTTATCCTCATAAACATGAAAGCAACCCAGCTTTTTCCAGATAACCAATTGTAAGCAGAAAGGAAACCTTCCTGCTTCAGAGTAGACTGGGCTGCTTAGGTTTTAGCAAAGAAATTATCACCTCTCTACTACCGGAAGGAAAATTTCGCTGGAAGAAAACCAACGGTGCCGGTTAACAAACAGGACATGCAAGCGTGATGATCCCATGAAACCTGTGAGAAGGTGTCCAACTCAAACATCACCACGTGAGGCCATGGCCGGTGCATGTCCAAGAGACGAAGGGTCCCAAGACCTTTGTCAAGCAAAAGTCAAAGGAAGATACATGAGGACAAGACCATTTTACCACACTCTGCCTCGAATGGCACTGGGTGACATCTTCTAGAGGAGAAAGTCAGCTAGCATCACCTCCTGAAAGGGGCTGTGAATTAGGTTTGGAGGCTCTTAACCACCTTCTAACTCTTTATGACTTCAGGGCAGTAGAAGCCTGAAATGTTCTTAAATTGTATCATGGAGCCACAGGAGGGAAAAGGTTAATATCTACCACTACAGAATGACAATGTTGGTGTCACTGTAAGGATGCACGACTGCTCTCTACAGAATTTTAATTCCCTCAGATACTTTATGACTGATAGTTCCCCCATGTGGTACCAATAGCAAGCCATCCGTATGACTCTGAGACCCCCCAAAAACCAAAATGCAAACATATTTACATTTCTTCCACATAGCTGCTTCATGCAAAGTAAATTGCCAAAGAGCATATTAATACATTCATTTTTTTAAAAAGCTTGTTTGCACTGTTTCCTTCAAGGAATTTGAAAATGTTCTTTCTCCCTTCCTTTCAAATGGCCCTTTGGAATTAGTATGCCATTGTGCGGATCAAGGCCATTTGCACGAATATAAAATATTCAATTAATAAGACTCTGGAATATTTAATCATGACATTGAAATGCTAAGGACTGCATTAACATTTATTATTCTCTATAAAGGAAGGATCTCCAGCACTCTGTCTGCAACTGTTCTATAATAGCTCTTTGGAGCTCGATGTGGGTTTTTGGTCTCTTTCCTAAACCAATGCTAAAAGGCAGTATTAATGCAGATTAAGCTAAATTTCATATCCACTAGAGTAACACTCCAAGAGAGAGTGAAATTACTAGCTCTTGATTTAAAAAACTGGGAGAAACTTTCTTTTTTTTTCCATCTCCAATTAGCAGAGCTTAGGAGGCAGAGAACTATGCAGCCAAGTCTTTCCATTACTGGCTTGGGCCACGATGAAGAGCTGCGAGATGCCAAGCACCGCATGTCTCAGAGCAGGCAGGTACCAGAGAGGTGGATAACTCCAGAGGGGGACAGCCATTTGGATACCGCTAAATGAGTCCTTCTTCAGGGTTTCAAACACTGACATCACCTTTAGCCACTTGGCACGTCAGTTTGCTGCATTTCATCACGTACTTCAGGTGAAGAACAAAAGTAGTGGCACATAGAGATTCTTCATAGATAGACAAGTGCTTAATTATCTCACATACCTGTTCCAAGTAGCCAAATAAATTAGATGATACCTATTAGGGCAGATACTCGACAGAGGTGAATCTGCCCCACACTCCCAATTTAAGCTCCCAAACAGACGACAGCAACATAGCAAGTATTTTCATTTGTATAGTACAGAGCTGTCTGCCAAAAGTCAAGTGAGGCAGTCCTACCTAGCACAGGTAATTCCCCTGCGTGGGTAACATAAAGGGAGCTTATCCACCTCCTCCCTGATCCCTGACCCATTCTCCCATGGCGTGATGCTTTTCCCACAAAAGCCCCTGCTTCTGCCTTGGAGGCTGGCTGGGTGACACGAGGCGGCGGGCTAGCCAAGGGCTCTCTTTCAAAGAACAGAATCATCAAAGGGATTTGCATTACCTAAGATACAGGTTACTCATTGAAATCTAACATTATCCCCAAACATTATCATCGTCCAAAGTCTTTATTTTGTTGCTTCTAGAGAGTCCCAACTTCTGCTGGGGCTGTGTAAGGTTCTTGTAAGGATGCTCACTGCCTCAGAGGAAGGTCCCACCACTTCCTAGGACTGGGCCCAAGCGTGGTAGCAAAGCCCACGGTCAACCCACCTTGTCTGGACTCTGCATTGGCACCGTATCTGAGACACGCATGGAAACAGCAAAGAACAAAACGCACACGTGAGAAAATTACAGAGGTCCTCCTGACTGCGAAAGCAGCTTCAGAGCCCAACTCCCTTCCTTCATTTGGGAAAGAAGATTCTCCTGGATAATGGGCCTGGAAACCAGGTTTCCCTCTTTATAGGCAAATATTACTGTATTATTATTTAGGTGCTATTAAATGCCTTTCCCAAAGAACTTCATCTCTGGACAGTCCCTGTACAAGACATACAACTGAATGGAAGGTTGGAAGATCAAAGGAGCAAAGTAACACACACACGCATCATGCCTGGGGGACTCTATTTAAATAAAGCTACGCCGAACCCCTGACAGCAGTTACCTGAGGAGGTGAGCAAAGGCCTTCCCTGCCTGACCACAGCAGTGCTCTGTCCTCCAAAAGACCCAGGACTGATTCCTTCATCTACCTTTATTCATCCATCTGTGCAGCATTTAGGAGTTCTCTCTTTGACTGATGGTAAAGCTGACTCTGCTCCCATCCAACTGGACTGCACAGGGCTTCTCCTAAATTGCAAGGGAGTGAAATTCAATTGGAAGTGAAAGATATTACAGATGACTTTAAATTACCTTTTTTAGAACAAAACCCACATCTTGCTAGTAACGGTAAGACCCAGATAGAGCACTCGATACGTATTTTCACCAAAGAATCACCAAAATAAAAATAGGCAATAATATTTTGACCTTGGTCTTGATAAAAATAAGAGCATGTCAAAGAAAGGCTTGAGACAAGTGAAGAATCATGGGCTTCAGTCTAATGAAAAGGTCTGTATATGGCTCTTGATTTCACAAGTTTCTTATTAAAGGAGCAAACTGGACTGAGGAGTTCATAAGCACCGGTGGGATGAAAGTCTTAAGATGCTAGAATTTCTAGTCCAGCAAGCTGAAAAA